TTGAAAACATACTGGTTGAAGATTTATTCGAGTTTGTTGCCTTATGTTTGTACTAGCCATATTTGGAATGATGATGTAAGTGATCACGCAACAGTATTCGTAATTTGAAAAATAAATCAGTTCTGCTCCAGATTTTGTGCTGTTTAGTTGTGTTTTTGTTTAGTCCAAGTTTTAGTTTTAGTTTCACTTCTTTTCCTGCGACCTATCTTGGAAAAGACCTGCAATGAGTTTCATCATCTTTGCCGTTCAACATCCACTTGGTCACACACGTGACGTGTATGGTGGCTCTAATTGGACCATAAGCTTATGAATTATTAATGAGTGTTTTAAATGTTTATAAATGTAAGATTAAGGATAAAAAGCGTAGATTTTTCAGAGTATCACTAGTTATAGGCCACGAGAGGGCGACTTTTTCACATCCACTGAAAGAACCTTTCTCATAATCGAAAAATTTCATATGTTTTGGTCAACGCAAATCACAACACAATAAATGAAATAGATAAAAAGGAACTTGATGGACGAAGAATGTTTTTTACCATATAGAACAGAATATTATGCTGAGAGCATAGTGACATTTATGTCGAAACATTATACTGTTGTTAGATCCGGTAATCCAACTATATAAAACAGCATATCCCAGATCAACCAATAGGATGCATGAATACTGGTACGTAGCCGTACTTCAAAGAACCACGAGGCCTCTTTCCTATTATTCTCGCAGTCAAGCAAATCACTTTAAAAATTCACCCACCACCTCCCCTGCGGCCTAACCGTTGGATTATCGTATTTAGTTATTCTAGGTGTGGCGTGTTTATTCTCGCCCCACCTTTGCCGAAGACATCGCTTCTTTCGGTTTTGGTATTTTGAACGACTGTATAATATGTTTATTGATTATTAAACTTGCCACTAGCGTGGCCAAAATTAATCCAAAACCGATGTAATCCTGTCTTCTCTTTTGCAAACTAGTGCGTCGCGATGCAGGGTTCGGACGCTAGTTAAACGTTTGTATAAAAAAACTTGCAGAATGTTTCGACATAAAAGCTTTTGTGAGCTGCGCGTTGTGTGCATAGAAGATTGAATGTAGAAGTGAAAAATGTTTCCAATCACCTGCGAAAGCGCTAGAACGACTCAAGACTTAAATACAGATTAATTGATCGATTTAATCAACCTAACTATAAGTTTGATTGAATAAGTGAGCCAATTAATAATGTTAATAAATGACGTGGCTGTCAATCAAGCACATGACGTCATCAATCAGTTAATTATCAGTTCCTTTGTTTTTACACTGACCACCAGTTGTGCTAATTTGAGAGAATCAATTCTCGATCAATTCACAAGTTTTGGAGTTCTTTTTCGAGGACTTTTCAAACCTTCATGGCCCTCTGTGTCACTATCACGTGGTAAGTTACATTAACCAGTCACCAAGTTTCTTTAAAATTGATTTTCAACAGTTGTTCTGTCAACAGGCTTTTCCTATCATTAATTAACAAACAAACCTTGTTTTTGATTTGTTGTTTTCAGAGATGTTATGAACTTCTTCAGAAGAAGACAAGAAAACAGACGAAAGAAGCCACACCCCGAGGGACGAGTGGCTAACTTCTTTCAAGGGGTTGTCAGTCTTGTCTTCTATTGCATCTTGAACGATGCTGCTGGGGGTGACGATGGTAAGTCCAAACACATTCAATTCACATTCCATTCAATATACAGATACTCTTAATCCTTTTTTTTCGAAGCTAAAAAAATCAAAAGCAAGGTTCACCAGCTTATAAAATTAAAAATTTTCAGGATATTTTAGATTGAAGATTGTTTTTAATTGACAAAAAAAATAATCGTTCGATTTACGGAGGTAACAAAAATTTCTGATGACATCATGAATGCTGCTATTCGAAAGAATCAAAGAACAGATCATTACCGCACGTCTACACCATTAGAACATCGGACCTATTCTATACAACATCAACATCGCATTATTCGTCAGTCGATAAGTTTCCTGAAATATTTTTTTAAATATATTTTTTAACCATCTTTGTAACAGAACGAGAAGTAGTCAACGAACCATCTGCACGCACCACCTCCGCCCACAGCAGCAGCACTAAACCTTTGACTATAGMTACTCTGGTTGATCATAGAAGAACCAATCACGAACCTAACCCTTGCCTGACCTCTCTGTCCTCATCCAATACACACTCACCGAGTGTTGGCAGGTTGCAGGAGGGTAAGGGTGATGGAAAAGCAAGAAAACCAACTGAGAAGAAGAAGAAGAATTGGTTTTCCTGGTTCAAAAAAGGAAGCAAAAAGAACAACAAAACAAAAGAACCAGAGAAAAACAACGATGAATCACCTAAATCGGCCTTTACTAGTACAAAACAAGAACCAGCGAGTTTGTCTGAGTCGAGCTTCAAAATTCTCCAGCTGACAGCCTCTCCTGGTGGGGCAAGGAAGGCTTACACCAGCAGACTCTACTCTCAATCAGTGTGTAAGGCTGACGAGACCCATGAATACGTTTGTACAAGTATTAGTAACACCATGAGTGATGTGGACCTGGAGGAAAAATCACTTGGTGATGCCATACACCATGATAAAATGGAGGTAAGTAATTTAAGATTAAGGCTGTCATGCATATGAGAACTTTGATAATATGTGAGCTCCATTGAGTTTCTACTGTGGGAATCCATTTGTCAATATACTGATGTCATTCCTATAATCTGATTTGTTTTCAGACATTTTCGCTGTCTGATGTCAGTTCTTTTGGRGAAAGTGAGAAGTCAAATTCGGTAAGTATATTAGTAACCAAACAATAAAACAACATTTGATCATTTTTTCATATCAGTTATCAACTTTTTTGTTTCTCAGTCTACATCGTTTACTGAAGTAACCTCTCTGAGTTCAGGTGAAATATCTGATTGTTGGGGACTAAGTGATGGTCATCTTCCACCATCCATGTCCTCTTCAATCACAGACTCGTTCACCGATGATGGACAGGACCACATCCAAGTATCCACGACTCTTGTGGTTGAGGGAACCATGTCTGCCAGTAGTGATGCACCAGAGAGTGACGACACTCCTGTTGAAACACATCGCATGGAGAGTAAGGTAATTCCAGCAACCTGCTCTTCTGGTAGTGCTGATACTTCTGGAGACAATGATACCTTAAACAGTACTAACATTGAGGTACCAGGTGACGTCCCAAATGTTGCAGTAGATAAAGAGGCACCCTCCTTCTCTGAGGGTGCTGACATCTCAGTAGACATTGATGCGTCGCCAAGTTGTACTGATGTCCAAGTACCCACTGATGCCCCTTATACTGTCGAGACTTTGGATAGTACTGATAGATTTAGTGAAGTACCAGGTAATGAAGTACCGAAGCCTCACGATCCTGTTCCAAGGGATGCCTGTGATGAACATGATGACAACAAGTCAGTAGAGCCTCATCATAGACCATCAACAACAGCTGGTCTTAAAGAAACCCAATGTATTGATGTAGAGGAAGAAGAGCGCATCATTGACGAAGTCCCAGAACACACCACACCCAGCCTACATAAACTGCATACGGAGTGGCCTGAACACCACGTCAACATCGAGCTGCTTCTTGAGTTAAAGGCACCCAAAAATTCCTTCGAGGCCATCGCATTTCAGAAATTTAGGGAGGAAGAAGGCTTAGACTCTGCCAACAACGTGTCTCTAAAGACTGGTGTCGTCTCATCTCCATCAGAGAAGGATCATTTGTCTAGTTCGATTGGGGCAGAATCAGAGATCGCTGTAGATTCTGGGGTTGGTTCAAGTGGGGACTGCATGTCTTCAGAACCTTAACGAACATTTCATATAATCTTACAGCTTGTGAATTAATTTTCTCTTGAAATACTTTTACTGAAATTTAATTTTTTTAAATCTCATAATTTAACATCGTTTTCATAACAGATACGAAGAATGCAAAATCTGATACACATAAAGTAATTTTTGAGAGTTGCGTGTGTTAGTGTGTGAGTGTATGTCTTCAATGGAATAAATTAAGAGAGAGTAGTAATTAATTAACTACAAACATGAGTAATTTTGGCCTACTATGTCATAATGAAGTATAGTCGTAATTGCGCGAATTGGGCAAAATCAGCTGATTGAGGTGCTGAGTAAAGAGGGTACTATTTCGTAGCCTTATCTCTTTAGTGCCAAGCAACTCCAGTAAGTAGTTACTAAGAAAAAAACGTTCTTGCGTGAATTACCTTGTCCCTTGACGTTCGGTTTAGTAACCAGGGACGTAGACAGGATTTTCAGAACAGGGAGGGGGGGATTTTAGCCCACTTAAATCCGCCGTTTTGTTTGGGCCCAAGAATCGCCGTACCCTTCTCCCCCTCCAATCCAATATCAACACTTAAATCAGTTGCCATGGAAACGTGCAATTTGACCTTTTAACTTTAATTGCATTATTTTAAATATAAAAACCTCCTGGAGGACGGTAAAAGATTTTCGAATGCCGAGGGTTTCATCGTAAATTAATTAGAATCGGCACCTAGATTGTTGCTCCAATTAGATAAATTGGAGCAACTAATGGGAAGGCTAATAAACACGAAAGTGAAGTTTGATACTCTCTACTTACTGCTCTGGAATAAGATTTTTTCAAAATAAAATGTTCAAATAAAATTGGAGTGATGAACAGCACTGTAAACTACATCACTTTCCAATGTTTGATATTCCTATACTTTAACTTTTTGCTATTCTCCCGAGGCCTTTCATCAAGTTTCCTTAAATTCAGGGTCAAATTCCGTTGCCATGGTAACTAAGTCAACGAAAACGAACAAACTGCCCATCCTGAACTCAAGTTTCTACAGTAAAATAAAACCACGTTTCCACCCCTTTATAACTTTAGGTAATCTTATTGGACCGATGCCGTAATTTTCATGATCACAAAATTCAGTATAAAAAATGCATTTTTTCTATGTCTTTCTTTTCTTCCTTCTTTTACTTTTATCTAAATTGGGTTCCCTGTGTCTTCGGGCAGCGGTTGATGGTTCAAGTGTTCACTTTTTTCGACGTGGAAGGCTTCCCACTTAACCTTGGATTATTTTGCTTTTATATTTTACTTTGTTCAACATGTTTCCTTCGCATCTTCACGTAGCTGACTTTGGTATTTTTGCCGTGGTTGCTGTTTTTGCTCTCATCGTGATTTTACTCTCTTTATTTGACTTTGTAAGTACAAAACTTGGATCGAAAATTTCTCCTCGCGTGATTCGCTTCAATATTGGCTCATTTTTATACAGAAATTTTAGTTATTCAGATATTTTTAGTTTGTAATATTTCGCATACTATTTATATCTTATCACAGAGAAAATCCGCCAAAGGACCTTCCATTCCCGGACCCGGACCTTCAAATCCAGAGTAAGTATAGTTATGTACAATTTAAATCCGAACAAGAAAAACACACTTTATGCATTAAAGTATCGTGCACTTTTGCAGTTTATTCTATACGCCAGAGCTGTACTCAAGGTGTATCTCGAAGGACTGTTCTTCGTCTTGTCATTCGCACAAATCTCCTCATGAAAACAAGTTGATCTGAGCTTGATAATATCTAGATTTCATGGAGAAAGGTTGCTCCTGGTACTTCAATTAATAAATTGAGTACAGGATAGATAAAAGTCAAAGATCAAAGGAAAGATATCAAATGTATCATACTAA